AATCATCGTCAACATCATCATCATCATCAACTTCATTACCGCCTGGACACCATTTCCATCAACATCATCATCACCAACATCATCGGAATCATCATCATCGGGACACCATCATTGTCATCATCATCAACATCATCATCATGAGCATCATCATCCTCATCATCGGGACACTATCATCATCATCGACACCATCATCAACATCATCCTCTTCATCGGGACACCATCATCATCATCATCTCATCATCATCATCATCATCATCAGCATCACCATCATCTCATCATCATCATCATCATGCTCGCGGGACACCGCGGGACACCGGCGGGACACCGCGGGACACCGCGGGACACCGCGGGACACCGCGGGACACCGGCGGGACACCGCGGGGCCCCGGCCGCCCGGAAGGGAATCATTTGGTCCGGCCGCGCCTCAGCCACACGGGACACCAGCGGGACACCGGCGGGACACCGCGGGGCCCCGGCCGCCCGGAAGGGAGTCATTTGGTCCGGCCGCGCCTCAGCCACAGGAGACTTTCTCTCGCCCGCCCACGCAGCTTCGCCTCGCCCGCACGGCACGCACGAACACGAAACCGAAACCGATTTCCCGGTAGGGGGGCTCTCCGTTCCACTTCGATCTCACCCCCTCACCTCCGACTACTACTACTACTACTACTACTACTACTACTACTACTACTACTACTACTACTACTACGACTGCTGCTACGACTACTACGACTGCGGGTACTATTACGACAACTTGTTTGTCACATCTACAAACACTACCACGAAAAGTTGGTTCTCCAGGTAGCCGAGGCTAGAGTGGTGCGACATCTTGGGCGACTTCTGGAATGGATCGCGTTTAGGCTCGAATCAGTCCTTCCGCCAGAATCTTCAGAAGCCCATCAGCATCCAGAAGTCCACCTGGAGAACCATCCGTTCTCCCGGGGAAGTCAACCTTTTTCCCAGAGAACGAAACTCTTGCCAGGCAGGAGTTCGAAGCTCAGGCTCTCGACCAGTCTGGGCCACAGCTGGACGCAGCCGGAAGCATTGGCCAGGATGAAATGTGGGATTGGGCACGGAGACATGTTTTGATTGTCATGTGGTCGGGGGCGCGAGTAAGTAGAGTGGAGGACTGGCGACACAAGTGAATCCGGCGCGACCCCAAGCAGAAGAGAGTTCACCAAGCCTTGCACGGTTGGGCGTTACTTGGCAACCCGTGGAACGGCTCTGCAAAAGCAGATAGGGGCACCCGAGCAATGCCAGCCTTCCAAAAACAATGCGGAGACAAAATCGAGGAACTTGGGGAATCCGGAGGACCTGGGCAAGGCCGGCCGTCAGAAATAGCAATCAGACATCACCAAGGAAATTGTGGAACCCGGGCAAAGACTTGTAAGGAAACAAGGACCATGAACCCCCAGTTTTTATTTTTAAAGAAACAAGAGCAAGGAACCCCGAGGAACTTGGCGACGCCCCGCCTCGCACGCACCGCTTCATCAAACATGAACCCAGCGCGACCCAAACTAGGGGAGAGTTTTCCGTTTCATGGGCGCATTGTTAGGCATATTTCTTGGCAAGTTTTCAATCGGGCGCGGGTACGCCATGCAGACCTTGCCGCCAGGGCCTTCGGTGGACATCCCTGCGGGGCCAAGAAACGGTACAGTATCGGGCGCGGGCACGTCATGCAGACCCTGCCGTTGGGGCCTTTGGTGAGGCTCACTGTGGGGCCACGGAACGTGTGAGGGGTGTGCCGAACACGGTGCGGGTATGCCATGCGGACCTTGCCGCTGCGGCTTTCGGTGGACCTCCGTGTGAGTGGTGTGCTGACTCGGGCACGATCACGCCATGCGGACCCTGCCGCAGGGGCCTTCGGTGGACTTCCGTTCGGGGCCACGAAACGTGGGAGGGGTGTGCCGAATCAAATGCGGGCACGCCATGCGGACCATGCCGTTGAGGCTTTTGGTGGAGCTCCCTATGGGGCCACGAAACGTGTGAGTGGTGTACTGAGTTGGGCACGAATAACCCCATGCGGCCCCTGCGCTAGAGCCTTCGGTGGAGTTCCCTATGGAGCCACGAACCGTGTGACGTGTGTGCCGAATCGAGTGCGGGTACGCCATGCGGACCCTGCCGCTGGGGCCTTCGGTGGGGCTTCCTATGGGGCCACGAAACGTGTGAAGGGTGTGCCGAATCGGGCACGGGTACGCTATGCGGGCCCTGCCGCCAGGGCCTTCGGAGGACCTCGCTTCGGGGCCACGAAACGATCAGATGCGGGCACGCCATGTGGACCCTGCCGCTGGGGCTTTCGGTGGGGCCACCAAACGTCAGAGCGGTGTGCCGAATCGAGTGCGGGTACGCCATGCGGACCTTGCCGCTGGGGCCTTCTGTGGGGCTCCCTTCGGGGCCACGAAACGTGCGAAGGTTGTGCCGAATCCGGTACGGGTACGCATGGTGGTGATGAGATGAGGGCATATGCAGGGCTGAACCAGGGATGGGAGGAGGGATGAGCGGGAGGAGGAGGAGGAGGTGGAGGACCAATGCAAACCTAAGAGTCATCAGCGATGTTGGGATACACCCTCCCACCAAGCTCCCTCACCATAGGCCCGTACAAGGGCTCATTTCCACTGAGGGACGTGCCCAGTTGGGAGACAATCGTGTGAAAATCCTGGAGCGCACCAAAACATCATTCTTAGAATTTCAACGCCACGAGTCAATCTGACTGTTGCAGTTTGGCGATCCTGAATCGTGCCAGAACACCATCCCTGGGACTTCTACACCGCGAATCAACGTAACGGTGGCGCCCTGGCAATCCTGAGCCGCTCGAAAACACAATGTCTGGAAGATTAGCCATGAGCATCCGTGAAACTTCTGCAACTGCTTCAAAGCGAATGCGCGCGGCGATAAGGCGAGAGCCACATTTAAAAAACGGGCCGCCATCAATCCGTGAAGTGCTTGCAGATGTTTAAGGTGAATGTGCGCGGCGATCAGGCGAGAGCCACATTTTGAAAACCACCCGCTTTCAATCCGTGAAACTATGTCGGGCCTTTAGAACGAGTATCCGCGGGGCTGAGGTGAGAGCCAAATGTTGAAAACGATCCGCCCTCAACCCCTGGAACTCCTGCAAAGTTTTAGAACGAATGTGCGCGGCGCTCAGAGAGAGCTACAGTTTGAAAACTACCCGGCCTCGATTTGTAGAATTGTTGCCAGCTTCAACGATTCAGGCTCATAAATGGCAAGGAAGTCTCAAGCGAAACGCCCGGCCCACCTTTCTGACGGGCCTCGGGGTGCGGCAGGAAGCAGTAATTCATAAGGAAGAGGAATTGAGGAGAGGAGAGGAGGGACGCGGGGCGCTGTCTCTTCAAAACGAGGACCCAACACCACAGGATGGTTGGGAACAAATAAGACCCTGTAGGCATAGCCTAGTTGGGGAACAAGTAAGAATCCCGCAGGCAAGCCCTACTTGAGGAAAATGTGTTACGGTCAGCTTTTCTTCAACCTGAGCCTCCCGAGTGCTTGGCTCGGGCCCCAGGACCCGTCAGGCAACGGCTCGGGATGATAGACTGGTCACAGGGCACTGGTCCAGAGTTTGTGGAAGCCCCTTTGCGACAATAAACGTGACGTCGGAGGGGAGGGCCGCAAGGGTGTTCACCTGGAGGTCTCCTAGAGGTCTCTGGAGGGCCTTCTCCAGAGTTGGGGGCATGCTATTGTTTTGTTCGGCCCATCACTCCTCACAGCCAAGTCCTCCGTAAGGGGCCCGTTACTTCCGGCGGTTCTGTGGGATTTTCGGTGGTTGTTGGAGTTGTTCCCAACCATATTGTGGTGTTGGGTTTTCGTTTTGAAGAGACGGTCCCCGCGTTTCTCTTTCCTTCTCCTACCCCTCCTCCCTCCTCCCCCTCCTTGCCTATGGCCTCCGCATGTCTTTGTTTCGGCACACCTCTCAGACGGTTCGTGGCCCCATAGGAAGCTCCACTGGAGGCCCAAATTCCAGCTTTCGCATGCGCCCGCCGCACCCATGTCGGCACACCCGTCACACGTTTCGTGGCCTCGTAGGCAGCTCCACCGAAGGCCCCAGCGGGTGCGTTCGCATGCGCCCGCCGCACCCATTTCGACACACCCCTCACACGCTTCGTGGCTCCGCAGGGAGCCCCGCCGAAGGCCCCAATTGCTGCGTTTGCATGCGCCCGCCGCACCCATGTCGGGACACCCCTCACAAGTTCCGTGGCCCCATAGGGGAGCTCCACCGAAGGCCCCAATGGTTGCGTTTGCATGCGCCCGCCGCACCCATCTCCGCACACCCCTCACACGCTTCCTGACTCACTAGGGACTCACAAATGCAGATGGTTGGGTCCTTCGCCAGCCTAATGTTTGAAGTTGTTGCGGTTTGTAGCAGGTCTTCGTTGAATATGCCTAGAGGCCCGAGGAGGCGGGTGCATTCACAATGAGTCTGTCGTCTCTGGGCTCTCGGAGTAGAACTTTTAGCCATCACCACCATTTCGACGGATTCCATGGGTCCAACCCTCCAACCCTCGGGCTCGAGCATGTCATCACAATCAGAAGATCTGAATTGTCGTTACATCCCCTCCTTCTTCTCTTGGGCTCATGTTAATCACGAATGTTCCGCTTGATTTCCTGTGTTGTTCAATCCATATATCACCAAGCCTCGACGCCGATGTACTACGTGTGCTGTGTAGTGAGTTTGGAAGCTCCGTGCCTTCTTTCTGTCGGTTCCTCGCAGGAGCTTTTTCCACCACCGTTGAGGCCGTTCGAGAGCTACCCGAAGCGGCCCAAGTCGTCGCCCATGCACAGCTAGATGCGACGACCAGTGCCTCTGAAGAGGAGCCGCAGCAACATTTGAAACAGGAGCAAGAGCAGTGGCAGTAACGAAGGCAAAGGGGTCAAGGACGAGGAAAAGTGCGTCAAAGCCAAGGCTCGGCATCATCCCGGATGGCACGGCACAGTGCCGGGTGAACGATCCCATTACTGAGCAGATGGGTGTGGGTGTCGAACAATCCCCTTTCCTTGTCATTCCCCTCTGCAGCCCTCTCCTCCTCCTCCTCCTCTTCTCAGTCCCTTGCCCTTGCCCTTGCCCTTCACCTGCCCTCCCATCCCTTCCCTTTGGGCATCGGGTTTGCAAGTTTGGTGGAAACGAAGCGCAGGTGATACGCTCCGACGTTGTGCACGCATGTGCGCTGAGGAGGCGTCTGCGCTTGCGCAAGATTAAAAAGCACAGGCTGCATTATGAAAATCGAAGCGCAGGCGGCACAAATGAATTCAGCACGTGCTGGCACAGTCAGGGATTATTGTGAATACTCGATACGGGTTAATCGGAAGCATTGTAGATGAGGTCGTGCCGTCCCGCAAAGTCAGGATAAACGCTGTACAAGAACTCGAGTGCGTCAAACTACTTGGGTGTTTACATGTGCGCACAGGCCGAGGCACCGCACCACGGGAAAGCATACCCTGGGCGCAGAAATGCGAGCATCCCGGAGCGCGTTGTGTCTACACCGGGTACCACTTGTTCTACCAGTCCGTGTCGTTCTCTTCGCTGCAACTGTCCTTACGCAACATCCCATCGCCCATGATAGCATCAGGCTGGGCATTGCCTGCACACGAAATGCACACTGCCAGGTGCCTACTGCCGAGGACGAGCAAGTCTTTCGTATGCAATGCGGTTCCCACAGCAGCGGGCATGGTCGTGTGAAGAGGTGGGTATAAATAGTGTGGCGATCAGGGCTTAACGCAGGGCCTTTGCCATTGCACGAACAAGCCACACGTGATCAGTTCTGCTATTGGTGCCTATTATCTTGCGAACGCCATCTTCATATGCGCCATGGGCATTCATGGAACACGTGTGGGAATATGTTTCCGCAGCGGTGCGTGCATGAATTGTGGTGTTGCCATAGACACTGGTGCGTGATTTAGGTACGTTAACCGCGATATCTTAACGGCACGCGAGCGGAGATGCGCATGAAGGAACGCAGCATGGTGTCGACATGCACGTACAGTAGTACCTCGCACTCTCCAACGTGCAAGCGCAACCTGATTGTACAGGTTATGCATGCTTTGCCCCCAGGTGCTGCCGAGCACGGGAAGAACGAGGAGGAATCAAGACGATGGCGTCCGGGTGGCGGAATGAGTGTTCATCCATTTACAGGGCCAGTGAAGCGGCTCCGCTCGGCCCACGGGGCCTTGCACGCAGGCTGAGCCTCTCGCATCGCGCGGAACCGCTGCGCTCAGCAGGGGTTGATGACCCGCTATCCGCGAGACCGCCGGAGGGCCGCAAGCACAGGAGAGGGAGCAGTCGCGAACATCCAGCTGGGGGGGGTCGTCGACAGGCCCCGAGAGGCGACAAAAAAAAGCCCCACAGGGGAAAATGACGTCCAAGGACGGGGGCATAACCCTGGGGGCCCACGCTTGAGGCATGGCGCGCTAGGCACTGGGACGACTCCCCTTTCCCCGCGCACGACGCACATGTTCCCAGAAATAACAGATATCGTTATTTCTCGTTCTCTTTCTCTTCTCTCTCTCTCTCTCGCTCTCTCTCTCCATCCCTCCCTCTCTTTCTCTCTCTGTCTCTCTTTCTTTCGCAAGTGTCACAGCGTGAGGAACGGGACACGGGCCATGGGGCCAACAGTTGATTCGCATGCAGAGCATGGGATGTCCGAGCAGCCGATGTGTTCTTCGCGCCTACGGCACGAGACCAACGAACATACGAATGGGGCCCTGGGGCACGGAGCCAACCGATCACCGCAGGGTATAAGCTAGAGCCCAGCCCAGCCAGAAACAATGTGTTCGTTTGAATGAGGGTCTGAATGCCTCTGGAATCCCAGAGGAGTCCCAGTGGATCGGCATATCATGCAAGCTGGTGGGTTTGCTGGCTATCCCTCAGAGTGTTGGGAAGCAGTTCACAAGCCGAATATGTGATCGCTTGTATAGCGCGTGTTCTGCAAGTGCTGAGCTGCACTCAAGGTTAGGCTGAGACATCTGGTGCTTCTCGCGAGAAGACCAGAAGAAATAAAGGTCGCGACAGTGATGGCTTTGCGACGCCCCCCCCCCCCGCAGCCAGCCCAGTTCCTCTTCCTCCCCCCCAGCCAGCGCGCCCCCTCCTGTCCGACCATATTATTCCTGCACGGCACAGTACAGGCACGGGCACCGCGCCCCCCTTCCCAACCCCCACCCGCAGCCAGCCCAGCTCCTCCTCCCCTCCCCCCGCAGCCAGCCTCCCCCCCCAGTCAGCACGCCCCCTCCGCCCCGACCATTTGATTCCAGCATGCCCCGCGGCCAGCCTAGCTCCTCGCCCCCAACAGCCAGCATGGCCCCCCCTCGATCCCCAGCCAGCGCGCCCCCTCCACCCTGACCACTTTATTCCGGCACGGCACGGGCCATGGCACCAGCTCTCCGCCCCCCACAGCCAGCCGAGCTCCTCCAACTCGCACCCCGCAGCCAGCCAAGCTCCTCCCCGCCTTCAAGCCAGGGCGCCCCCTCCGCCTCGACTACTGTATTCTGACACGGCACCAGCACCCGCACCGTGTCCCTCCCTATTTCGTCCCCCGCAGCCAGTCCAGCTCTTCTTCGCCCCCCCCAGCCAACGCGCCCCATCCGCCCCGACCAACTTAACTCCGGCACAGCACGGCGCGGCATCAGCACCGCACCCCGATTCCCCCCCCCCGCAGCCAGCTGAGTTGTTCCTGCTCGCCCCCGGAGCCAGCCCAGCTCATCCTCGCCTCCAAACCGCCGCGCCCCCTCCGCCCCGACCACTTTATTCCGGCACGGCACGGCACCGGCGCCGCGCCCCTTTTCCCAGGCCCCGCAGCCAGCCCAGCTCTTCCTCCGCGCACCCCGCGGCCAGCCCATCTGTTCGTCGCCCTTCAGCCAGCGCGCCCCATCCGCCCCGATCACTTCATTCCGGCACGACACTGGCTCCGGAGCCCCGTTCTTCCGCCCCGCAGCCAGCCCAGCTCCTTCCTCCTCATCCTCCTCCTCCTCCTCCTCCTCCTCCTCCTCCTCCTCCTCCTCCTGCTCCTCCTCCCTCCTCCTCCTCCTCCTCCTCCTCCTCCTCCTCCTCCTCCTCCTCCTCCTCTCCCCCTCCTCCCCTTCTCCCCCTCCCCCTCCTCCTTCTCCTCCTCGCCCCCCACAGCCAGCCCAGCTCCTCCTCGCCTCAAAACCGCTGCGCCCCCTCCGCCCCGACCACTTTAATCGGCACGGCACGGCACCGGCACCGCGCCCCCCTTCCCCCCCTCCCCCCCCGCAGCCAGCCCAGCTTCTCATCTCCCCCCGCGGCCAGCCCCGCTCTTCCCCGCTCCGTGAACAGCACGCTTCATCCGCCCCGACCGTTGTATTGTGGCAGGGCACCGGCACCGGTACCGCGCCCCCTCCCCCCCCCCCCCCGCAGCCAGCCCATCACCCCCTCGCCCCCCAGCAAGCGCGCCCCCTCCGCCCGAAACACTTCATGCCAGCACTGGCACCGCGCCCCCCCTTGGTCCGTCCCGCAGCCAGCCACATTCCTCTTGATCGCCCCCTACAGCCAGCCCAACTCCTTCTCGCCTCCAAGCCAGCGTGCCCCCGCCGCTTCGACTACTTGATTCCGGCGCGGCCCCGTCACTGGCACCGCGCCGTGCGTCTCATCTGACCTCCTCTTCTTCGCCTTTTGCTTCCATCTCGTCTTCCTCCCGCGTGCTCTACGTGCAAGAGCCATGACACGCGTGCCACTTGTTTCCTATGCGGAAGCCAGCGGAAGGATGGTGGACGCTAGCGGGTGTAAAATGGGGGTGGCTCCGCAGGCGGAAGATTACGGAAGCTCGGCGGAAGCAGGTGGAAGAAACATATAGCTCCCCAAAGAAAGGCGTTTCTGTTTGATATAGGGTTTCCAAATCGGTCCAGGTAGGGGCGAAGGCCGTGTTCCGTGCAGACCACTTGAAGACGAGTAGGCCACACCATTATTCGCGACATGTTTGCATAAGAGATCTAAAGATGTTCGCGCCCTTCTGTTCACGCCTGTCACCTTTGCCGGGCGAGGGGGTGCGGATCCATGATTGCCAATGCGCCCTTGAGCAGATCTTCATTTCAGTCCTTCGAACCCTTCCCGGCTCTCTCGTATTCCTCCTTCTCTTGATCTTTGTATCATGCCTTCTCTTAATATTTGTATCATGCATCAGTGTTGATGCACCACGTGCGCATGTGTTTCCATCATGTCTGGACGACGACTGAAGATGGTGCTCTCCACATACGCATACACCGTCCCAATTGACGCCGCTGTTCCTGTGTGATGTTTGAACATATTGTCGATATCTCTCTCCCGTCTCTTGATTGTGGTGCTGCAGTGCCCTCGAATGCTGTTTAGCATGTTAGGGAAGTGAATAGTCTGCTTTATGCACCGAGTGTTTTATGATTGCATATGGCTTTACTGAGCTGACAGGTCAGGAGGTATCCGTTGGCTTCGCCTCTCAGCAACTACCCACTGAGCGTCTGCCCGAATTTGCGTGACTAGCATCAAGGACGTGCTGATACGCAGGCGGAAAAGGGGGCGACGAGAAAAGGGATGAGAAAATTGGGTCGTTCCCGGTTGTGTCTGGAGCCCGTCTCGGCGACAATGCGATTTCTGGATCGATTTTGGAAGATGTCCGTATGACGTGGGACTCACGCAGTAATGAAATCCATCGATTGGACCCTATCGCACCATCTCGTCAATATCGGTAGCTCGTTCGCATGGCGATCGCCGATGATGAGAGATCGGCAATTCGGCATGTTCAACCCAGTTGGTCGTTTGCTGACCGATCGAGCGCTCGACAACCGAACATGTAAAATTGCGAAAGGCATTGGCCGTTCCCTCATCGGAGGAAGAAGAAGCACGGGGAGTCAGAAGACGAGGATGATGAGTGCAGGATCCGACGCATTCGGCTGCCCAGGACGACCTGCTCCATGACCTCTTTCAGGAAACTCATACGTACCAAGCGCCCCTGTTGCCAACAACAACACAACCCGCAAGGGCAGGGCGATGGTCACAGAGGCACAGACAGAGAGAGAGAGAGGGCGACGGCTGGAGAGAGGGAGACGTTTAGGGTGAGCCCTGGACATGGAGGGCAGGGCGCCCGGAAGAGGAGCAGGTGCGGAAGGCAAAAGGGAAGCAGTCGAAAAGCGAGGGAGGCCCGGTCATGGCCGGGGGAAGGACCCCGCGAAGGGGCTCGTGCGGAGCCGCCGTCCAGCTGGAAGAGGAGGCGCACTGAGCTCGCGCAGGCCTCTCCTGGCACGCGCCAGCTCCACGCGCGCGGCTCCAGGTCTGGCGTTTGCGGGCTCCGTTGTGAATCTGCCACCTCGACTTCCCGATCCTCCGCTTTGTTGACTAGGGCTCTGGCCTGGCGTATTGAATACACAATATGATAGTCACGGAGCCGCACATCTTCCCGCGACTGGGGCGAGAATCCAGAGTTCTTCCAGGGGGCACGGTTTGCTCAAGAGCCAAGAGTTGCCGAGTGTTCCGAGCAGGAACCCTCACCGGGACCCCGAGAGCCACCGCAGCGATCTACCCAGCGCGAGCGAGCCAGGGGTTAGCTGGGTTCTGCTGGGATCTCCTCGCGACGCCACCGTCTGGCCCGCGCTGGAGCTCCGCGACGCTGCGGCGAGGATTCGGCGAGCAGGGCTCACACCGAGGAGTAGGAGGGGATGGGGAGAGGGGCGCATGCAACGGGGGTCAGCCAATCCCCTCTGGCCGGGCCCAGGTGTGGGGAGCCACCTGGAGCCGACCGTTCCGTCCTTTCCCTCCACTGGCCCGAGTCTGGGAGCTGCTTCGTGGCCAGCCACGTGCCCTGGACGTGGCCCTGGTCGACATGGGTCAGCGTTGGCCCTGGTCAGCGCGTCCCCGAGTGGGGGAGCGGAGGGCTCGGCACGGCTAAATGACGATTGGCCACAGCGTGGCTCAATCACTTGCGGGATGGCAAGCCTGACGGCGGCGCAGCGGCGGGACCCACAGGATGAGGGGGAAGAGGAGGAGGAGGAGGAGGAGGAGGAGGAGGAGGAGAGGGAAGAGCAGAAACCAGAGGAGGAGCAATACTATGAAGGTTCGCCTCCTCATCATCATGATCCTCCTCATCCTCGCCCCCCTCCTCCTCCTCCTTCTTCTCCTCCTCCTCCTCCTCCTCCTCCTCCTCCTGCTCCATCTCCTCCTCCTCCTCCTCCTGCTGCTCCTCCTCCTCCTGCTCCTCCTCCTCCTCCTCTCATCATCATCCTATGTCTCCTCTTCTTCCTCCTCCTCATTCTTCTTCTCCTCCTCCTCCTCCTCCTCTCCATCTCCTCCTCCTTCTCCTCCTCCTTCCCCCTCGTCCTCCTCCTCCTCCTCCCCCTCCTCCTCCTGCTCCTCCTCCTCCTCTTCCTCTTCCTCCTCCTCCTTTTCCTCCTCCTCGTCATTATCCTCCTCCTCCTCCTTCTCCTCCTCCTCCTCCTCCTTCTCCTCCTCCTCCTCCTCCTCCTTCGCCTCCTCCTCCTCCATCTCCTCCTCTTTTTCCTCCTCATTCTTCTCCTCCTCCTCCTCCTCCCCCTCCTCCTCCTCCTCCTGCTCCTCCTCCTCCATCTTCTTCCTCCTCCTCCTCTTCCTCCTCCTCCGTCTCCTCCTCCTCGCTCCTCCTGCTCCTCCTCCTCCCTCCTCCTCCTCCTCCTCCTCCTCCTCCTCCTCCTCCTCCTCCTCCTCCTTCCTCCTCCTCCCTCCTCGCTCCTTCTCCTCCTCCTCCTCCTCCCCCTCCTCCTCCTCCTCCTTCTCCTCATCCTCCTCCTCCTCCGGCTCCTCCTCGTCCTCCTCCTCTTTCTCCTCTTTCTCCTCCTCCTTCTCCTGCTCCTCCTCCTCCTCCGTTTCTTTCCTCCTCCCTTCTCCTCGCCCTCGCTCCTCCTCCTCCTCCTCCTCTCCTCCTCCTCCTCCTCCTCCTCCTCCTCCTCCTCCTTCCTCCTCCTTCCACTTTCTCTTCCTCCTCCTCCTCCTCCTCCTCCACATTGCTCCTCCTCATCCTCCGCCTTCGCCTCCTCCTCCTCTTCCTCCTGCTCCTCCTCCTGACCATCATCTCATCATTATTATCATCATCATCCTCCTCCTCATCCTCCTCCTTCGCCTCCTCCTCCTCCTCTTCCTCCTGCTCCTCCTCCTCCTGACCATCATATCATCATTATTAGCATCCCCCTCCTCCTCCTCCTCCTCCTCCTCCTCCTCCTGCTCCTCCTCCCCCATACTACGACTACTACTACTACTACTACTACTCCTTCGCCCGTGCCTGCGGGGAGCCTGGAGCAAAGGGCAAGCTGGCGATTGCTCGGCTCGCCAAGGGCTTCGCGCCAGGCGCCGCAGGCCGTGTGGCCGTCAAGTTCGCGCAGCTCGACGACCACAGCGTCGTGGACGACGGCGCGGAGCGCGGCGGCGGCGGCCTGGACGGGCCGCTGCCCTGAGGCGCGCGCGGGGGGAGGAGGCCCCACATCCCCGCGTGCGCCCCTGACTTCGTCGCGGTGCTCCTCGGCGAGGTCGCAGCGGGTCATCCTGACCCGTGCCCGAGCGCGTGGGGCGCGCTCGGGCGCCAGCGCGGCCGAACGCCCGCGCTGATGCGAGCGCATCCCCCTCCTCCTCCTCCTCCTCCTCATCCTCCTCCCGGGCACAGCAATGAGGGCGGACGCGATGCGTCCGCCCCACCGCGGGGCCGCTGTCTCCGCCAGGTGACTTACCTGACACCCGACTGGGACAGCGGCGAGCCTCGAAGCCGCTGCAGTGAGCGGCGTTCTTGAACGTTTCCCGCGCCAACATGTGCGCGGCCCGCCCTGCGCTTGCCTCGGACGAACCCGTTACCGGGCCGGGGGGGCGCGACGCCTCCGCACGCGGGCCCCGGACGAACCAGCAACCGGCTGCGGGTCACAGGGCCTCGAGCTCTGCAATCTTATAGATAAGATCTCCAATCTTGAATCTCTCGTCGGCCAACCTGGAGCCCACGGTTTTACCCCACTTGGGGGCTACAGGAGGGCACGGGGAGGTGAGGCCCCTGGCGAGCCTTTCGGAGCTGAAAGAGCCACAAAGACTGCAACAAACTAACCTAGTGGAGCTAGGCTGAGTGGGAGCCAAGAACGTATACAACCTGTGCGCCTTGGCACCACGGACAACATGCATCTGATGTGTGGCTCTGCACGTTCCTGCAACGTGGGCGGCTGGGCCTTGACGAGCGCAAGAGAGGGAGGGGCCTCAGAAGCTCGGGCTCGACGCTCACGACGCAGGCAATCTTTCTCAGACAATGCCGCCCCGACGCTGGACACCCAGACACCCAAGCCCTAGACGAACTTCCGATGTTGCTGGATGAGCTGACGAGAAGCCACGGGGGGTCTCCTCTGAGGAGCACGAGAGTTGGCAGCAAGGTCGGCCAGCTTGTTACCCTCGGTGAGACGAGCCGTCTGCACTCCGTCCAGGACCTGCTGCCTCTTGACGTGACTGCGGACTTTGGCCAGGGTGAATCCATCACCCCAATCGTGAATACTCTGCCAAACAAGCCTCCAGAGGTGGGCCCAGGCATGCCCTGCGGAAGTGGTGCGGTCCTCTCCCAGTAGGTTGACGCCCTGGACCACAAAGCTGGAGTCAGAGAAAATCGCAACAGGAGGTACGGCATGAAGTAAAGCAATGTACAATGCAAACAGCTCGGCACCGTCAATGTCCTGATGCGGCCCTGGAAGGATTCCCGTAACAGTACACACCCCAATCTCAACCTGATGCAACGCAACAGCTGCAAAGCCTGCCACTGGATATAGCGGTAACTCCTCGAAACAGGACCCGTCCAGGAAGATGTCCCCAGTGAACCTCATGGGGTCTCCTTGCCATTCGAGGTAGGGCTGCAGTGGGAATTGCATCAGATCGGGCGGCACAGCCGGCTTGGCAAGCACAAGGCGCTCGATCGAGGAATGCGTCAAACAGCTGCTTGTTGTCATTGGCCCTGTCAGCAAAGACACTCACGAGCGGCGGCCCGGTCGGAGATATGCTCACACTCCGCATGCTTGTTGGAGAGTGCGCCTGGAAAGGATTCACAGACCATACACAGAGTGGGCCCTGGATCCAGCCGTGCTCGAACTGTCTGGCCTGAGGCCACTGGGCCCCGATAGCCACCGACCGAAGGTAGGCAGCCTCTTGGGCCGACAGCAGCCTGGAAGTATCAAGCGAACGCAACGGCTCGATCCAGATGCCCTCGAGAAATTTCGGAACCTCGAAATACTCGGAAACCTTCCGCATCTACCAGGAGACGATGGCCTTCTCAACCAGCGCCTGAACGGATTCGGGGCACAGCTGGGTGGGGTCGATCACCTGGCCATTCGGGAACTTCCAGGTATACAAACAGCCAGCATCAATACCCACCCGATTGTGGGAGGCCGGGAGCGCGGATAAGGGCCTCTTGATGGCTTGCCAGGGGGAGCTGCGGGGTCCAAGGCGAGCGGCAGCAGCTGCTTAACCTTTTCCCGAGGGTCTTGATGGTCATGAGGGTCCTCCAGAACACGTGCATGAAGACCTCGACGTGCTCCAAAGTGGTTCCTCCTCCTCCTCCTCGCTCCTCCTCCCCGCTCCTCCTCATTATCCTCCTCATCCTCCTCCTGATAATCTTCCTCCTCGTCCTCCTCCTCCTCCTTGTCCTTCCTCCTCCTTCTCCTCGTCCTCGCTCCCGTTCCTCAAAATTATTCGTCTTCCTCTGAATCATTCCTCCTCATCCTCATCATCAGCAGTAGCATCGTCATCCTCCTCCTCCTCCACCTCCCCCTCCTCTTCCTCATTCCTCCTCCTCCTCCTCCTCCTCCTCCTCCTCCTCCTCCTCCTCCTCCTCCTACTCCTACTCCTACTCCTACTCCTACTCCTACTCCTACACCTATCCTTATTCCTTATTAGAATATACTCCTACTCCCCCCTCAGGCCGGCCATTAGGGGCCGCATCCGGGGGTCCCATCCTAACCTGTAAAAAACAATACAAAATCAACATGTTTCTTATTTTTTCCTCTCGACATGGACGTCCTGTCGTCCACGGCGATAATCCATTGCAAAAAATACCACAAAGAGCACACGCGCGCGTTCATGTCAGAATCCTACCGAACACCGTGTGTTTGCAAGCATTTCAACATAAAAACATCAAAAACCCAATGCTTTTTCACAAAAAATTGTACAAATTTCCCGCCCGGGCTCTCTTGCTGAAATCATAGGAAAACCATAGGAATCTTAAGAATTCGGTCAAATCCAGCGATTTCACGTCATCGCGCGGTGCACTCGCGATGCTCTGTCATGCACCCAGGCCGCGAATCCTGTGCAAAAAATACCACAAAGAGCACACTCGCGCGTTCATGTCAGAATCCTAC